CGGAGCTGATCAATACTAATTTCCTCCTTTAACACCTATGTGAGGGCAAAAATCATAAGAGTGAAAACAGAGAAAATAACACAAAACTTCCATTTAGATGTGGGAAATTTACCTCAGGCTTGTCGTGCTCGATATATTGGAGAACAAAGCAATGAGTATTTCCATTCTTGAATCTGTCTTTATAGTTAATGATATAGTTTTTGCCTCTGAATTATGAAGTCATTGTGACAGATAAGTCATTAAATAACTTCAAAAGCTTAACCGGCAACGCAAAATGTTGAAGAAATATTTCTGAATTGTGCTTACCCATGTTGCTCCAGCACTTCCCACTCCTTAGCAAGACGTTGACGTTGCTCGTGAGCTTCAGCAGCAGGACCTGAAAAGCCACAATGATAAATTAGCAATTTCTACTTCTGAGAGGTCATAACTTGTCTCGTTGATGAACACTGAAAACTTAAGTAAGATTTTCTGATGTTTCATGGTCAATAACATGGAAGAGCACCAAGTCACATCAAAATAGCGTTTTCATTAAGAAACCCATGGCATTTCGAGTGGAAGAGCACGAAGTCAAATCAAAAAGAACAGGCTAACAGCTGGCTTAGATTACAAATTAATAAACCTATGGCATAATCTTCTTTTTTCTCTGTCAAAGCGTAAATGTTACAATTTAATTATCGTTGTATTTTTTGACATTATTTTGTTATTATCAATTAAATTGTATTATTTTAACATGATCGGTCTGACCAATATGACTTACTGACTCTTAAACCACTATCTCAATCAGTTGAGTATCCGGTCCGGTTTTTTGTACCTTGTTTTAATGGGATACATTTAAGGGCAACCCTGGTGGCTCCACCTCCACTATTCTTCCTCTTTGCCTTGTAAACAGTGCCATGAGCACCTGCAAGATTAAGTTTGTTAGAAGAGCTGTCAATGAATTCATACACTCGAAAAGAATTGGATCAATGTGGACGCAGCGTCCAAATCAGGAACCTATCAACGTTTTAATACCTTTGCTTACTTCCTTTATTTCCTCGTACGATTTAGATGCTAGAAAATCCATAAGCTTCTGTTGATCCTACATAACAGGGATCAATAGTTCTTCATCAGAAAAACTTGGACTTTACATATTTAATGACTTGTAGAGAAAGCAAAAGATGAATTCCCAGTATAATTGTAAAAATATATCCTAGCCAAAAGGTAACAAGATAGCAGTGTCTAATGTTATGTTGACCCATTGCGCCAAAGTGGTGTGCCTGTGGCAATGCTTATTTGTCAGAAATCAATATAATAAATTCCCACTTTTGTTAACAAGAACAGAGATGTACTTCGCACAGACAATAAAATGCACAATCCATGCAGTATCAAGTTTATGATTCATTATAAAATTAAATTGGGAGTTCATCACAAGTCGAGACACAGCTTAAGCCTCTCATAGGAATTACAGTTACAGGGAAGATGGACAAAAGAAGTCTTAGCAATGGAGAAATTGTTAATACTCGGAAAATATCTTTTTATCAGCAAAAAAAAAAATAGAGATGGAATTTTCTGGAAATATACTAGTTTTCTTCAATCCTTTTGCGGAATACACAACCGCGTATTGAAGCCTCTTCTGAAACAAACCCAGAATGATCGTTTACGGAAGAAAGAAGAAGCAAGCAAACCCCCCAGTTTGTTCAATAGTCTTCCCAGAGGGAAAAAAATTCACATAAATAGCCACAAGTCAGCTACAATTGAAGAGATTTAATTTCCATATTTCAGCTGGAAATCTGCACAATTCAACGGAAGGGGGGAAAAAAACAACTGGAAAGAATCTCACAAACGGCTTTGGAAAGAGGAAAGCAAGATCGAATGGGGTTAGAGAGAAAGAGGGTCTTGTTAGTGATAGTAACTAAATTCTCCAAGGGCTTAAGTGGATCTTCCAATTCCTCACTTATGCTACGAAAGACTTGTTGGCAGCAACATCCGCAAATAACTAGCTAATTCAAGTCGTGTCCTATGTTCCGCAACTACTAACAAAACAAGAAATGACATTTTAAAAAATTAAACGGATTCTTACCATAAGAATAGAGTGACCAGAACAATGAAAGATAGAAGAACTCAGTATGGTCGAATACCAGAGCAAGAAAGAAAGAATTGTCTGAAAGCTAAGAGTCTCGTACCTTTTTTATAGATCAAAATATGGGCACGTTTAATGAAAATTAACTCAAACACAACTAAATGAGCAGTTTATATGGTTATTATCTTGCTTAATGATGACTAAAGTCACCGGTTACAAACATGGACGACGCATTTGACGTGCGCAATGTGACGTCTTGTGCATTATCAATAAACAGATTTGAGTTTACTCATTGATTGATGGATGAACAGTGCCATGAGAAGCACATGCATGTCCACGTCCACCTTTGATGAGATGCAAGTGGGCAACAAGTAGGGTTCAATTTCACTCTCTCTCTGACACACACACACACTAATTGAAAGTGAAAAGACACACCAGCAGCTTCGTCGGGCTTGCTGGTGCTTTATCATCACTCCACCGCCCCACAATTTTGATGATGACATCCATAAAACTATCGTACAACGACGTGCATGATGTTGATGATGCGCCAATCAACTGCATGGGAGTTTTTACAGATTGTAAAATGAGTAAAAAAAATATTTTTATTGTCAATTAATTATCAATCAATACATACTTGTTACAAATAAATAATTTAATTAATTTTTAATATATAAAGTTATCTAATTTTTAATATATTTACTGAAATGATTATAAATTCACTGAATTGTAAGTTCCACCGAAAAAAACATCCAACCAAACCAGTTTATTTCGTATAAGTTAATTAATAGTGTATATTTCTTTTAACAATAGTAGAAGATGAATGATCATTATGTGGGTATGAAAGATATACAATTTTTCGTTTATAATTCCTTTTTTCATTGACAATCAATATGAGAGACAAAATGGATTAGGGTCTTATATTTAGGATCAAAATAAAAGTCAAACAGGGTCTTATATTAAAGATCGGAGGTAGTATTTAACTAATGCCAATACATGGCCCAACTCATTAGAGCAGTCGAAGTCAATGAATGATAGCAAAAAGCTCAAATTGGTGTTTTCTTATAATACCAAATCTCCTCAAAACACTTTGACATTATGAAGTTGGAGAATAAGGAGTCGAAGTCACGGGGTAGCACATTGTTGCAACTCCTGGAGATGAATGGGAAGGGAGACTAGAGAAGCATCCTCATTAGCCAGAAGAAATTTGTCTCCACTAGCATCATTGAGCACTTTGTTATGAGCACATTAGTAGTTATTATTTAGTTATAAACAATAATAAGCGGTTAATAATAAAATATGTACTATGAAAAGTCTTTATTTTTCATGAGTCACCGATCGATTATGTTGTAGGAACTTCCAATTATGAATCCAAATGGGGGGAGTTCGATTTCTGTAGAACAAATCAAAAAAAAAAAAAAACCTCTTTTTTTGGGTTTATAGGGAGGTAGGAAAAATTTAACAAGTTTGATTTGAAAAATTGGAAAAATAGGATTATAAAATTTTAATAAAGAAAAGATGTAAGATAAAAAGAATAACCAAAATTAATAATAAAAAATTTTAACCCCAATTCTCTAATTTTTTAAGTCAACATCATTAAAATTTTCCTTAACTTTCTTTCTTTTTATTTTTCTCGTACCCAATGGATCCTAAGTTAAGGTTTCATTAGTTTCAAATATTTCCATTTTTTTGTCCAAATTATAGGCCTGAGAGAGAATGGGTTTCTTGCTAAATTAATGATGATTCATTCCAAAAGCAATGTCAAAATTTTTTAATTTTTATACCCGAAAAATTTAATTTGTTAAAGCATTGAGGCCCTATGAAGGTGATGATGGCGAATAAACAAAAATTGCAAACAATATGTATTGTGAAAGCATTAAGACCCATGTAAATGAATAAAAATAAAAATAAAAAGTTCTTCATTATGGTCGAAACTGTTCTGAAAAAAATAACTACTAACATTTTGTACCATGAGAAAGTTAGAAATTTGCAAATAACATCAAAATATGAAGTTTCTAATGTGCTACATAAAGAAAAGCATGTAAGGATATATTGTTGTCATAATCAATTAACCATAATGAAGTTGGTTGCTGAAATTAGTTCATGAAATGTATTTGTTTTAAATATTTGTTTAGTGTGAAATGTATGAGCTTTTTTTAATTACAATTAAGATGAAACTATTTCAGAATCACAAGCATCTTGCACATTGCATGGGAAACACGTGCTAGTTACTATAATATCCCTATTGCATTTGCAAACAACTTTACTAAGAGCAAGTTCGTAAAATTTAGAGGAACGCCACAGGTTCATTGATGATCTCACTCACACAGATGGGAGACTATAATCCTGGAAGCTTCTTAAAAAATAGTAAAGGTTAATACAAACTTATCTCTTTTAAATTTGTCCTCATTTTGATTTTAGTCCCTCAAGTTTTAAATCATATGTTTTCATTTTTCAAATTTCTTTTTATTTAAAATATTAATTCTTATAATTCAACAAAAACTTAAACTATTTTGCTAAAGACCAATACTTATTATTGGTGAAATCATTGGTAAAATCGATGCATTGTTAGGAAATTCTAAAATGTCTGCTTTTGGGCCGTGGGACAAGAAAAAAGATCCATCTCACTGGATAACACAACATTGTAAAATATTCCTTTGATTCTATTTATGAAACAGAGAGAAGGTTTTTTTTTTTTTTTTTATTTATAAATCACTTCATTAGATTTTTAACATGAATATACCATTTTGTCTTTTATTTATTGTAGTATAGATAGTTATTCTTTTGAAATGTATATATATTAAATGAAAGTAAAGTTGAAAAATTGTTATATTTTAATAAAAAGTTAATGCAATTTAAAATTTTTCTTAATCTGTGTAAAACATGTTAGAAGTGTCTTATAAATAAAACCAGAGAAATATTTAATTTAATGCACACATTATCGGCACTGCACAATTTCAGCTTGTACCATTGGAGACATCCATTACATCTCTGATTCATTACAAGTGACATTGTAATAAACAAAAGAATACCTCGGAGGAAAGATATTTACACTGTTACTTCCATTGCCTAATGTTTGTTTCAATGACAGGAAGGGGGCCCTGCCAGCAAGTAATTTTGTATTTAGATTTATGTAAAACAACCTATGTTAAGCTACACAAAATCACAAACTCCTACTCCAGAACATGAACTATGCTAGTGAGTAATGATTTGTGATATAAAACACGTGGGTTCAACTCAATAATTCCTTCTTGCATTGCCTTTCCTTCCTCAAGCTCTCATGGCATGGAGCAAAAAACTCATGCTGAAGAGCCTCCTCTGCACCGATTCTCAGTCTAGGGTTCACCATCAAGCACTTGTCCAAGAGATCAAGCAGTGAACCGGGAATGACTTCCAGGAATTCTGGTCTCTTAGTGTTCATTATGCACCAATCTCGAAGTCGCAAAAATGGCAAACTGTGTTTATCGTATAAGTCCTACAACACAAGCAGTTAAATTTTAGTTGTGATAATGATTTTGAATCAAAATTCAGAGTGTATTCCACTCTCATATGATAGATACCGCAGGGAACGAGGATTCCCGATTGTGTAGCTTAGCAACCTCCCATAGATCCTCACTGCCTCTCAGTCTAGCTATATCCTTTATGTTCCTGAAGATTACGGGTAACGGAAATTGTAAGGATGACTAGTGAAGGTAAATAAGCCATACATGCTGAAGTGTTGGATTATAGTAGAAATTCTTACTGTTCAGGATCTCCAGTGAAAGGAGTTTTCCCGATTATGAGATAGAGCAAGGATACACCGGCAGACCAGATGTCAAGCTTAGGACCTTGATGTGGAGACCTGAACAATACCTGCACAGAGTACTCACCGTTCACCATCAAGCTTCTTGCTTGTTTATAAAAATTAACAAGTCATATATTTTTCGATCCAAGAAAAAGGAGACATCTAAAAAGTCCGCTATACTTTTATTTTCACAACAGCATATCCAAAGAAAAACAACCTCTTACAGTGACAGAATTTTCACTAATTCTAATGTTCCTACAGAGACTAATAATTATATACACCATCCTTGCCAAACAAGATGAAAAACACAATTTCTACCTTATCAAAGGAATTGCAAAGGGTAATAAGCAACATTCGATAAAATAGAGAAATTTAATTTCAGAGTTATTAGGATAGCATTTTATGCAAGATATTCCATGTCTGAGTATGTTAACATGTCTCTGAAAGTGTAATATAGCAATAGTTTTATGGTGTTGACATAAAAAAGTATGCACTTCTGCTCCGTTCATTTCATCAACAAGCTCACATTCATCCTACCTCTGGAGCCCGAAAGCCTTTTGTTCCCACACAAGAACCTTCTCTTGTCTGTTTTCCATTCCCTGCAAATAGAAAAGTATTAAATATAAAGATTTCTGTTTGTCCACCATCCATCTATATAGCCCTCGAATAAAAGCATCTAACCTTTACTCTTCAGAAATCCAGCACCGGTGGCATCATTGCCAATTGAGTTCAAAGGCATGGGAGAGATGTAGACATGCTCACTCTCCATCTTATTACGAGGAGCAGGAACCCGCTTTCTCATAGGAGTGTTTGATAATTCTTGATTCGGACCTAACAGCGTTTCTTGCAAGATGTTAATCAACTCTTTCCTCCTTGGCCTTGCCAGACTCGGTCTCTTTTCAAGTGATGTTCTTGCGCTGGTGACGTCCTTCGCCGAAGTTACGCCAGAGCCGTCTGCACCTTGACTTTTCATCACCTGCCCACTACCTCGGTCATTTTTAGTCTTCGACTGCACCACAGCCTTTCTTCTGCTGTCCTTAGGATCTAATATTGATTTGGAGGCATTAGTTATCTGTTGATTGGCAGCTTCCAAAAAATTGACATTTGGGAACTTTCTGCATTTGGTTGAAGCTGTAGAAATTTTCAACAAAAAATTTGATGTAATTAGCGATTGAACCACACCATTGCAATTATTTGCATTGATTGTAAATTATACTATAAGCTCCAGCAAACAGAAAGCTGCCCAAATAATTATTTATGCTGATGACGTGTAGTAGAGCCTCATAGAAATGGGGTCTTCGTGCAACCAACCGAATTGTCAAAATTCTTACATCTCATTCAAAGCAATTGAAAAGGGAAGGAATGAAAACAAGAGTATTTATCTTAACTCCTACAAAATCCAAATCTTTCCACAAGTGCAGAAAATTCAAGAGATGATTACAATGCATAAGCTAGTGATATTCTAAGTTACCCGATCAACTTTCTTAAGATATTAACTCAGTCAAAATCATATGCGAACGTGGAATTTTACAGTGATCTCGCCATTCCTTTATCCTTGTTTAATGACATTCAAACAAAATATGAGGGGAAACGAATCTACAGTGGCGCTGCCTAACTTCCATTCTTCTTATTCTTCTTCTTGGTTCTCCTCAAATTCTTTTCCCCTTCATTTGGTCCTAAACAAAGACTTAGCATTTCAATTATCATTCCCTTAGGACTTCAGTTATTAGGGAATGTACATGTAAAGCTGAGAGAGTACTGGAAGCTTACCGATATTCCCCGGCTTCTGATGCAGATCCTGAGAGAAGCTAAATTGCAAGATAAAACAGTTTTATATTGAACAACATAAAAAATCTGTTTATGTTACGCTACAGAAACAAAATACAAACCTTGGCAGCTACCCCTTGTTGAGCTTACGGGAGAAAAGGAAATTGCCAGGTTTAACACTTCTGTGTATTACTCCCTGCCTTTGCATAAGCAATCGTTAGAACCTCTAATTTTCCTAGTAAATATATTACAAAAATATAAGTCTTCATACCCGCTTGGGAAGAGCCGCAAGAGCCCGGAACATGCAGTAACCATACCATCGGAGCTGAACAACATCAGTTTCCTTCCTTAACACGTATGTGAGGGGGGGAATCTGCATATAATGTGGGAAATTTACCTCAGGCCTGTCGTGCTCAATATGTTCTAGAACAAAGCAATCAGTTTTTCCATTCTTGAAGCTGCCTTCATATTTAATGATGACGTTTTTGCCTCTGAATTATGAAGTCATTGTCATAGAAAAGTCATTAACTTCAAAAGCTTAACTGGCAAAGCAAAATGTTCAAGAAATATTTCTGAATTGTACTTACCCAAATCGCTCTAGCACTTTCAGCTCATTAGTAACATATTGCCCATGAGCCTTGGCATGAGGACCTGAAAAGCCACAATGATAAAATTAGCACTTTCTACTTCTGAAAGGTCATAACTTGTGTCATTCATGAATAGCGAAAACGAACAATGTTTCGTGGTCAATAACATGGACTGAATGAAAGAAAAGGATCGATGTGAAAAATTTTGATCCTATATGGCTGAGAATTCGAAGATTGCCCGATTGGAGTACTAATGATTATGTCGCTTTAATTATTTTTAATAATATATAAATGGTGATGGGGCAAGAAAAAGAATGCTTGGGTTAGTTTTATTGATGATAAGCAATGTGCTATGAACTATGAACTGTCAAATTGGATAATAAGCAACGTTCATGCCTAATGTGCGTTGGACATATGTAAATGCAAATTTACCCTGAAAATTTTCATTTAAAAGCACTGGGCATTCGAAAATTTTTTAAGTGCAAAGTTATCTCAAAAGTTTAAAATTGTAGTAATATCTATCATGAAAATCAAAGCTGACTATTAAAATAGTAACATTAATCGTTAATATTTTTTTCAGTATTGGGCAACATTTTCATGATTTTAAACTTTCAAAATGAACTTTCTAGTGCCTAGTGCTCCCGAATAAAAACTTTCAAATGTTAGAAGATTCTTACGTTCCTTTTGATCCTACGTCACCGGAATCAATAGGTTTTCGTGAGAAAAACTTGGACTAAACATATTTAATGACTTGTAGAGAAAGTAAATAGTGAGTTCCCAGCATAATTGTAAAAATATATCGTAGCCAAAAGTCAACAAGATAGCAGTGTCTCAAATTTAAAGACATACCTCAGGATTTTAAACTAAAACTTATCTAGGCAACATGGTTACCGTCGAATGCTTATCTTCCAAGTTATGTATACGAAATTTAATTAACAAGAAAAAGTTTGGTCCCAAAAAAGAAGTTAACAAGAAAAGAAAGAAAGCACATTGATCATATGTGATTGGAAAACTTGATATAAGCAACTTTAATTATAAACCCACATAGAAAACACATGACCATATATGATTAGAAAACTTGACATAATAAATATAAATAACTTTACCGAAGCATTTTTCAAAAGAAAACATTTTGACAATAATTTAGCAAAAACCAGTTAATAATATCCCCAAAAAAGTTGTTGTTTTCTTAATTTAGTCTTAGTTTGAAAACTTAAAAATTACTTCATATTAACCCATTCAATTAGAGAAATTTTTACATACACTATTTGTAGTTTTACTGTCGAAGTTTCGATCAAAATATAATATAATTTTTGAACAGTAATATGATATATATATGATTTAAATCAATAACTAAATGAATATTTCAATTAAACCATGAGCCTATCATATTAAAAGATAATCATATTTTAGTTGAGAGATTTCATAATAAAAATTTAGGGGGGAAATTATTTAATGCAAATTTGAGTAACTTGTTGATAGACCATAATATTCTGATATGATGAAAATCTCAAAGTTAGATATTCTCATCAATAATCCCTTCTTATGTAGGGCTGCATATGGGCAAGGCCAGATTCTTGTCTAATGTCGAGCCCGAAAGATCCTGACCCTGCCTGATAAAAGCCCACATAATTTTGGAACAAAAAGAAGGGAAAGCACATGTGTGGTTTGGTTGGGAGAATTGGACTGACCTGACCCCTTCACAGTGTTGCTCAATCACAGAAGCTCAAATGGGGTTTTGATTGCAAGATTGGGCTCACCCTTCGATGGATGCTGCTAGGTTGGGAAGAATGATATGAGGTTGGGGCATCCTAAATTTGCGACCATGAAGAGAATGATGAGCAAGACTTTTTTAGCAACCATGGGAAAGTATCAAAGCGGAGGAGCTTGGGCGCCCAAGATGGTGTTTTCCCCCTTGGTTTTGGTTTCCTTGATTTTAGTTTTACATTACAGGATCTCTTCTTTTTTCTTATTTACTCATTTCAACAAAGAAATTAAAATTATATGAAAATCTTATCAAAACTTGTTATTAGTCTTACTTAAGTTGTCGTTGGCCTAATTGAACTTGTCATGAATCCTATCTCAAAAGTGCTTACTGTCAAGAAAATCTGCAAATTCTGATTTCAACAGAAAAATTTAAAATTGTATTAAAACCTTATAAGAACTTATCATTGGCCTTACTTAACTTGTCATTAGCCTAATTGAACTTGTCATTTCATAAATAAATGTGAAAATTCAGCTATTTTAACAGAGAATCTCAAATTTGTAAGAGTAGCTTATCAGAAGTTGTCATTGGCCTTACTAACTTGTCATTTCGTAAATAAATATGGAAATTCAATCATTCTAACATAGAATCTCAAATTTGTATGAAAACCTTATCAGAAGTTGTTATTTGTCCTAATGAAGTTGTCATTTGACTAACTAAACTTGTCATTTCGTAAAGAAATATGAAAATTCTGTCATTTTAACAGTTTAAACTTAAATTTGTATGAGTAGATTATCAGAAGTTGTCATTCGGCTCACTAAAGCTGTCATTAGCCTTACTGAAGTTGTCATTCGTCTAGGAATGTGAAAATTGTCATTTTAGTACACAAACTTAAATTCCTATCAAATGCTTATCAGAACTTGTCGCTTGTGTTACTAAACTTATTATTCACCCTAATAAACTTGTCATTGGCATCTCATTGGCGTTAAATCAACACTTGTTATTAAAAGTCTGCAATAGAAAATGACAAGTTTGTAATAGAAAATTACAACTCTGCAATAAGAAATAAGAAGTTTATAATAAGAATTATAAGTCCGCAATATGAAATTATAAGTCCACAATAAGAAATAACAAGTCTGTAATAGGAAATAACAAGTCTACAATAAAAAATAATAAGCCTGAAATGAAAAATCACAACTTTGATATAGGAAATTACAAGTTTGCAACAAAAAATAACAAGTCTGAGATTGAAAATTATAAGTCTAAAATAGAAAATTACAGGTCTAGAACAGGAAATTATAAGTCTCTAATAGAAAATAACAAGTCCAGATAACCATCTAACATCTGTGACATCAAAGCTAATTTTGAACATTTCTTGACAATATCAAGTCCAGGCAATCATCTGATAACTGCATTCATGGATAAAGTAACATATAATTATCATTTGATAACATATAATCGTCTGAATGTGGGGGTGTTATTGGTAGGCTAGGCTTCACTCACTTGTCTCTCAAAATGCATCCTCTTCAAACCCTGCAACAAGGATGTTAGAGTTGTTAGCTTATACTCGAAAGGCTTGGATTTCAACTTTTGTGCTTCTCGTTGGGCTGATTGATTATTTGTTCATCCCTTTCTAACTTCAAAGATAAAAAAAGGTTGGGACCCAGGCGGGTGCTTTGCTTGCTTGGTTGAAAGAGAGGTCAAAAAAAAAATCGTACCCACCCACAACTCAGCACAAACACAAATGAAATCTATTCGATTGCCTCAAATGCTTAGTTGAAATGCTTAGGTGAAAGAGAAGGACGAAGCGGGAGAGAGGAGAGAAGAAGGAAAAAGAAGGAGAAGGTGAGATGGAGGAAAGAGAATGAGAGGGCATTTTTGCCTTTTTCTCAACATTTCATAATTGATATTTAAGATCCGGTCTCTAATAGCAATTTTATGAATTGAAGAACCCAAATGGCAATTTTATATATTTCAAGGTCTTTTATTGCAATTGTCCCATAAATTTATGTATATTATATATTAAATAGAATTATATATATAAATTCTGGGTAATGCCAGATATGCACGATGGCATATCTTGCCCTACACCTGGCTCTGCTAAATGCCCAACTATTTTTTGGGTTGCTTCTTGACTTTAGGGGGCTTGGGTGGGCATTGCTCATGATCACCCCTACACTCACGTTGCCTTTCCTTCTTCTAACGGCATGGAGCAAAAAACTCATGCTTAAGGGCCTCCTCTGCACCGATTCTCAGTCTAGGGTTCACCATCAAGCACTTGTCCAAGAGATCAAGCAGTAATCTTAAATCGCGAGAGACTTCCAGGAACCCTCGAGAGACTTCCAGGAACCCTCGTTTCTCAATTTTCATTCTTTTTTCGAACCAAACTTGAAATCGCAAAGGTGACAAACCTTGTTTACCATATAAGTCCTACAACACAAGCAGTTAGATTTAAGTTGTAATGATGAATTTGAATCAAAAGTCAGAGTAGATTCCAGTCATATATAATAGATAGATACCGCAGGGAATGAGGATTCCCGATTGTGTAGCTTAGCAAGCTCCCATAGATCCTCACTGCCTCTCAGTTGAGCTATATCCTTTATGCTCCTGAAGATTACGGGTAACGGAAATTGTAAGAATGACAAGTGAAGGTAAATAAGCCATGCATGCTGTAAGTGTTGGATTATAGTAGAAATTCTTACTGTTCAGGGTCTCCAGTGAAAGGAGTTTTTCCCATTATGAGATAGAGCAAGGATACGCCGGCAGACCAGATGTCAAGCTTAGGACCTTGATGTGGAGACCTGAACAATACCTGCACAGAGTACCCACCGATCACCATCAAGCTTCTTGCTTCCTTAGAAAAAGTCATATTATATTTTTCAATCCATTCATTTCATCAACAAGCTCACATTCATAGCCTACCTCTGGAGCCCGATAGCCCCTTGTTCCCACCCAAGGACCTTTTCTTATCTGCTCTCCAGGACCAGCGGCATCATTGGCAATTGGTTGTTTTGAAGGCATGGGAGAGCCGTCGACAGGGTTCTCATCCGGAAACTGAGAAAAGCAGCAACAATAGGCTAAATTACAAGATAAAACAGATTTATATTGAACAGCACGAAAAATCTGTTCATGTTATGCTACAGAAACAAAATACTAACCCTGGCATGATAGAAATCAGTCAGATACCCTTTTTTAAGCTTACGGGAGAAAAGGAAACTCCCAGGTTTAACATCTGTGTGTATCACTCCCTGCGTATGCATAAGCAATCATTAGAACCTCTAATTTTCCTAGGGTTGCATATGTTACAAAAATAGAATTCTTTATACCCCCTCGTGAAGAGCTGCAAGAGCCCGGAACATGCAGTAACCATACCGTCGGAGCTGATCAATACTAATTTCCTCCTTTAACACCTATGTGAGGGCAAAAATCATAAGAGTGAAAACAGAGAAAATAACACAAAACTTCCATTTAGATGTGGGAAATTTACCTCAGGCTTGTCGTGCTCGATATATTGGAGAACAAAGCAATGAGTATTTCCATTCTTGAATCTGTCTTTATAGTTAATGATATAGTTTTTGCCTCTGAATTATGAAGTCATTGTGACAGATAAGTCATTAAATAACTTCAAAAGCTTAACCGGCAACGCAAAATGTTGAAGAAATATTTCTGAATTGTGCTTACCCATGTTGCTCCAGCACTTCCCACTCCTTAGCAAGACGTTGACGTTGCTCGTGAGCTTCAGCAGCAGGACCTGAAAAGCCACAATGATAAATTAGCAATTTCTACTTCTGAGAGGTCATAACTTGTCTCGTTGATGAACACTGAAAACTTAAGTAAGATTTTCTGATGTTTCATGGTCAATAACATGGAAGAGCACCAAGTCACATCAAAATAGCGTTTTCATTAAGAAACCCATGGCATTTCGAGTGGAAGAGCACGAAGTCAAATCAAAAAGAACAGGCTAACAGCTGGCTTAGATTACAAATTAATAAACCTATGGCATAATCTTCTTTTTTCTCTGTCAAAGCGTAAATGTTACAATTTAATTATCGTTGTATTTTTTGACATTATTTTGTTATTATCAATTAAATTGTATTATTTTAACATGATCGGTCTGACCAATATGACTTACTGACTCTTAAACCACTATCTCAATCAGTTGAGTATCCGGTCCGGTTTTTTGTACCTTGTTTTAATGGGATACATTTAAGGGCAACCCTGGTGGCTCCACCTCCACTATTCTTCCTCTTTGCCTTGTAAACAGTGCCATGAGCACCTGCAAGATTAAGTTTGTTAGAAGAGCTGTCAATGAATTCATACACTCGAAAAGAATTGGATCAATGTGGACGCAGCGTCCAAATCAGGAACCTATCAACGTTTTAATACCTTTGCTTACTTCCTTTATTTCCTCGTACGATTTAGATGCTAGAAAATCCATAAGCTTCTGTTGATCCTACATAACAGGGATCAATAGTTCTTCATCAGAAAAACTTGGACTTTACATATTTAATGACTTGTAGAGAAAGCAAAAGATGAATTCCCAGTATAATTGTAAAAATATATCCTAGCCAAAAGGTAACAAGATAGCAGTGTCTAATGTTATGTTGACCCATTGCGCCAAAGTGGTGTGCCTGTGGCAATGCTTATTTGTCAGAAATCAATATAATAAATTCCCACTTTTGTTAACAAGAACAGAGATGTACTTCGCACAGACAATAAAATGCACAATCCATGCAGTATCAAGTTTATGATTCATTATAAAATTAAATTGGGAGTTCATCACAAGTCGAGACACAGCTTAAGCCTCTCATAGGAATTACAGTTACAGGGAAGATGGACAAAAGAAGTCTTAGCAATGGAGAAATTGTTAATACTCGGAAAATATCTTTTTATCAGCAAAAAAAAAAAATAGAGATGGAATTTTCTGGAAATATACTAGTTTTCTTCAATCCTTTTGCGGAATACACAACCGCGTATTGAAGCCTCTTCTGAAACAAACCCAGAATGATCGTTTACGGAAGAAAGAAGAAGCAAGCAAACCCCCCAGTTTGTTCAATAGTCTTCCCAGAGGGAAAAAAATTCACATAAATAGCCACAAGTCAGCTACAATTGAAGAGATTTAATTTCCATATTTCAGCTGGAAATCTGCACAATTCAACGGAAGGGGGGAAAAAAACAACTGGAAAGAATCTCACAAACGGCTTTGGAAAGAGGAAAGCAAGATCGAATGGGGTTAGAGAGAAAGAGGGTCTTGTTAGTGATAGTAACTAAATTCTCCAAGGGCTTAAGTGGATCTTCCAATTCCTCACTTATGCTACGAAAGACTTGTTGGCAGCAACATCCGCAAATAACTAGCTAATTCAAGTCGTGTCCTATGTTCCGCAACTACTAACAAAACAAGAAATGACATTTTAAAAAATTAAACGGATTCTTACCATAAGAATAGAGTGACCAGAACAATGAAAGATAGAAGAACTCAGTATGGTCGAATACCAGAGCAAGAAAGAAAGAATTGTCTGAAAGCTAAGAGTCTCGTACCTTTTTTATAGATCAAAATATGGGCACGTTTAATGAAAATTAACTCAAACACAACTAAATGAGCAGTTTATATGGTTATTATCTTGCTTAATGATGACTAAAGTCACCGGTTACAAACATGGACGACGCATTTGACGTGCGCAATGTGACGTCTTGTGCATTATCAATAAACAGATTTGAGTTTACTCATTGATTGATGGATGAACAGTGCCATGAGAAGCACATGCATGTCCACGTCCACCTTTGATGAGATGCAAGTGGGCAACAAGTAGGGTTCAATTTCACTCTCTCTCTGACACACACACACACTAATTGAAAGTGAAAAGACACACCAGCAGCTTCGTCGGGCTTGCTGGTGCTTTATCATCACTCCACCGCCCCACAATTTTGATGATGACATCCATAAAACTATCGTACAACGACGTGCATGATGTTGATGATGCGCCAATCAACTGCATGGGAGTTTTTACAGATTGTAAAATGAGTAAAAAAAATATTTTTATTGTCAATTAATTATCAATCAATACATACTTGTTACAAATAAATAATTTAATTAATTTTTAATATATAAAGTTATCTAATTTTTAATATATTTACTGAAATGAATATCATTCAATTTAGCACGCTGACATGATTTTATATATTCTTTCTTTGTTTTCTTCCTCATTAGGAATGATGGCTTAAAGCCATGTTTTCAAATAAAAATCATCACAAAACATTACAAATATGCAATTCAGTGGACTATCAGTGTCTAAAATATTAAAGTTCGGAAATGTTGGATGAACTTTTTTTCTCAATCTAAGATATTAATTAATCACACAAAACAGGCGCGCGCACAAATATGTATATAACTCAATTTCATTTGATATAAAATATTTGTTCACTTGAAACCTGGAAGCGACCCAATGCCTCTTAAATAAACTCTCCAGTTTAAATTTCGTGAAAACAAAAAAATTATAATACAATGACTTCTATTGATTAAGGACATGACAAACATGGCCAGGAAATGACCCAGCTCTACTCCCAATTATATCACCAGATACAAAATAAACCTCATCCGGAAAAAATGTACACTGCTTTTTCTAAAAAGGAATTTAAATAAATTGGATTCTGATTTCTGGGAGCTTACTAAAATCAGCAGAAGTTTCACAACCACAACTTAGAAAAAATGGTTGTAGAGATAATTAGATATTTATTTATCGTTGCTTTTGATTCCAAACGTGAAAGTTATGCTGAAGAATGAAGCTACGCTTATCAAAACATACGTAAGCTTGTTGACTTTTACACAAATACAAAAGAAGAAGAAGAAAAATAAAAAAGAAAAAAATCAATTTCCTAATCCATTTCCTTCCACTTTATGATTCTCCTAAACGCATGGTTGTCTTTGAGGATTGCAGCATTATTCTATTATAGATAATGGTTTTACGAGATATTTTGTCGACGTCTAAAGATTATATACACAAAGTATATTTAAAAATTCCCATCCTTCTCTTGTAAAATTTTCCTATCCGTATAGAGATATAAATCACAAAGTATAAGCGTGCATCAGAATTTTTTTTCCCTCTATTTTCTTCTAACATGGATTGATAAATTTGTGAAGTTTTTCATAATGAAAATGTAAGATTATGAATTTTGTGAGATCAAAAAAGGGATTAACATGCAAATCTATTCGTGAAGAACTTTACTATGCGTAGTCGCTATGAATTTCTTTAGATGCAACAATTATTACACATGAATATTTTAAAATGAAGTAAAACTATCATTTATATTAAATGTAGGTAATATCCTTTACTTTATAATACTGCACCAAGTGTACCCCACCATACTAAGGTAACCAACATTATGTGTAGATAACATATGTGACATTTTTGCTGAAAACATTCATTTGTATTGTTGCCCCCAAGAAATTTCATGGTGCTAGGTGTGCATGTAGAATATTTTGTGAGAACTTTATTGCAATAAAAAATTCAGACTTGAGGATAATCCACACTTATGTCGTCATCTACTTTTACTTTATTAAAGTATCTTTAGAAAAGTAGCTTTGTAAAAGTAGCTTTATTAAAGTAGTTTGTCCTGTAGTCTATTCGTCCTTTTGTAATCATTAAAGTGAACCTCATCATTAGGATAGGTCATAATGACGTCTACCCGTCATCATGAGATGTACTATTAGGCCTTTGTCATATAGTGACCCCGAACCCCTATATAAACCCCACTCTGCCTTCAGTTACGGGCAAAAGGAGTTGTATCGACTTCCTTGTATAATATTAGTGTGCTTTCCTCATGAGTTCTCTCTAAATTTCTCTCTTCTTCTGAAAGCCTCACTTATGATATCTTTCTTCTGTCACCAGAGATTCTAAGTATGCTCTGTACTTGCCTCTTTAAGAGGATCCTGTGCATCAGAAAATAGAATCTGACCACGATCCATGAAGGAGTGTTTAGTGACAATCTTTCCAGTTATCCTAGCTCTGGTATTCAAAGCTGAGAGTCCTAACGTGGCCTGTTGATGAGTTGAGAATGAGTGGCCTTACCTGGACTGGAGCCTTGAATATCAGACTATGTTAGCTTGGTTCGATTCAGCTAACACCCCCGTGTGGTATCAGAGCTAGCACAATTCCTGACAGACGTGAGATATCATTAGTGAAGGTGAGTAAGAAGATACCGTCTTATCATGAGTGAAACTTTAAACAGTCTTGAACCCGTTCGCCTTTCTTCTTCCTTTACTCCATAAAGACTTCCCTTCTCTGTTCGGAGAACTCTTTCCAGAAAAATAGAAAACCTTGTTGAGATAGATCATCTTCCTGAAGATGCTAGAGTCCAAGAAACGAATCTACCTCTTCTTAGTCCATACAGCGTTTATCATCGTACCAATCGTGTCACTAGAAATGTTAGAAGCTTGATCTCCACTCAGAGACCTCATGTTAAAGAAGTAGTCCAGTCTACCAAACTAGAAAATTGTGGTCTTCCTACTTCTTCCTCTGAACAATATGTCACTATTGACATACCTCAACCATTGATCAACGAGTGGATAGCTCAAGGTTATACCCATCTTCATATTGGTGCTGTGCGCCTCATTCTTACACTCCATGGGAGAAAAGGAATTCCAGCCACTGCTAAAATTGCTTTAGTTGATACTACCTATACTACCTACAGTAATGCTTTGATTGGCGCTGTTCTGACCACTCTTAGCAATGGTAGTGTCATCCTTACCATGGCCCCTGATTTCAATATCAAGCTTTCAGATCCAACTTTGACGAACAGACTAAAAATCCAAGTCCAGATAGTTGGAGCAAAGCAAGATCCCAGAGCTATCACAGCAACCCTTCATCATCAAGTTCTCTACAGACTCCAGAACCATGCTCTTGATCTTCATTTCCCAAATTCCACCAAAGATGCTCTTTATGTGGTTTCTGATAGAGATGATGATACCTCCATCATCCAGATTCCTAGAAAAATCCCAAAAGAGGAACTTGCTCAGCTGATGCCTCTTGAGTGGATCACCAACTATGAAAAACACTTTCATGGTGTACAAAGGGATGTTCATACTTCTACCCCTCCTGAGATAAAAAGGCTTCCAGATGGCACTGTCAAGACAGTGTTCACCAAGCCAAGCCAGGAAAGTTCTTCTGTATCTTCCGGACGTATTCTCACTATCACCCCGGCCTATGTCTCATCTAAGGGAGAACCTCCTATTGGTTGGATAGACCAGAAAGCCAAGCCATGTTATGTGTCTCACATAAATGGCCATTTCATTTGGGATCATGCACCAGAAGAATGTGATCCGGACTGTGATTGTGACACACCATACTGGTGGGAAGCTTCTGACGATGAAGATGATGATGGATGGTCTTACCCCATCAGATATGCCATAAAAAAGAAGAAAAAGGAAAAGAATACATCTCTTTGTTCCTACAAACATTACCATCATCACTATGATGATGATGATCATGGTCCGAAGCAGAAGGCTAGAAGCTGGAAGGCTCCTGTCCCTACTGTTCCCTCTAGCAGATTATCTCTATATGATCTGCTTAAAGAAACAGGTCATGAAGACCTCCTGCCTAGACAAAAACCAGATCCAATGATTCCTGCCATCCAACAATCCGTCTCGTGTATAGCAATGATGGATCCCTATGAGCAGGATTTTCCTCCTCTTGAAAGAAGAACCAACAGAGAAACAAAGGTTACAGCAAGACCTTTCTCTGTTCCAACAGAAATCTCTCCTACTGGTGAAACTAGACCAGTCTCAGCAGCAGAAAAAGTTCTCAACTGGCAGACCCAGAATGCGATCGGCCAGAATAGAACTCTGACAAAGATTGATTCAAAGCTTGACATGCTGACTCTTACAACTGATACTCTGACGAGCAGACTTGACCAGGTCTCTGATCAAGTCAAGCAGCTTTATATGACTCTGACTTCTCAGGCTTACCAACTGGATACAGATTTAACGCAATTTATTGAGAAAGGATATATTGGACCAGAATTTACAAGAAAAGAGCAAGAACTATCACAAATCTGAAAGGATTTGCAAAGAATCGAGTCAGACATCGCAAAGGATCATTCACAAACCATCTATGACCCTTATCCATCTTATCCATCTAGTTTCCAACTTCCCACATATCCAACATCACCTAAATGGAAATTCTCCTCTTACTACACTCTTTGAGATGCTTGCTCCTCTTCCTTACTGGAGAGGAAAACTCTAGAAAATTCTCAAAGAACATAATATTTGGGACTTACCAACTCCCAAACAAAAAAGATTTTTCTGTCTGTATACCTTTTTCATGACGCTTTCAGAATAAGGAAGAACATATTGTGCTTTTTCAGATGAATTCTTGGTTGGGGTCCTGGGATTCTCCTGTGAGGAATGGGAGTTGTGACTGAAAGCTTGGCTGAGGAAGATAGAGTCCTTCAGGCTGAGTGAGTTGAATTTGTGAGTCTTTG